TGTATGTCTTGGTTTTTCCTTTTCTATCCTTTTTTTTTTTAAATTTAACTTGCAGAGTTTTACAAACTAAAATTAAAGATTTATAAATTTTGAAATAAAATTTTTAGTTGTCCAAAACTTTTAAATCTAGTAAATTTTTTAATTTTTAAAAGGTTAAATATTAATTTTAGTTCATGAACTTTTAATTTTGAACAATTTTTGAGTCTTAAATTATAAAAATATATTTTTTTTAATTCTTTCATCAATTAATCTATTAAATTTATTTATATATACACATTTTTAATTCATGAATTTGTAAATTTAAAGACTAAAAATATATATTATAAATTTAGAAACTAAAAATATATATTTAGATATATTTAATAAATTAACTGATGAAACAATTAAACAAAAAAGTATCTTTTCATGGTTTAAGAACAAAAAAAGTACAAAAAAAATAGTTTAAGATGAAAAATGTTTAAAATTAAAAGTTAAGAAATTAAAATTAACATTTAACTTTTTTAAAAAAATTATTCATAATTGCTTTGTACAATTTCATAATTCAATACTGCCAAAAACATTTACTCAAACATTATTTTTACAAAAACTTCAGAGCATTTCTAGTGTAAAAAAAATCACATTTGTTCATGCAAAAGGTTGATACATATATTAAGTACATGCTTCATCTTAAATAATCAAAGAGTATTGATTATAATAAGAAGCACGTTGTACAGTTCTAACTGTGGCTCAGCCCCGACCGCACCTGTGGCTCGCATGGCCCCACCGGAAATTTAATAAGGTCACAGTACTACTCTGAAAGTAGTTGAATAATGGCGCGTAGACGTGAGAATAAATAGTTATAAGTGTTAAATTAATATAAATATTGATTTACATAATTTATAACAGAATTTTTAATTAACTATTAATTTTTAAAAATGTTAATTAAGATATAAATTTTTAAACAAATCCTTTAAAAATATTTCAAATAACGAACATGCTCTACATTATAACTCACATTTCTAAATTCCAAATTGTAATCCACATCCTCAAAAGAATCTTTTCTTCATACAAATTTCAACAATATTTAAGCATATAATTGATAAAATTATAAATTAAACCAATAATAATTGTCATTCTTAATTCATATACATGGTATAAAAACAATGGATATTTTGAGACTGTGACACATCAGTCCCAATTCAAAAGAAATTTCTATTTGCATTTGCAAATAAGTACCAGTGATTATCCAGAAACAGTACATGCCAATATTAACACTAAAAGCCTTATGGTGTCATAACATTTCTTCTTTCCCTTTTAGATCTCTCTATTTAAATTAATCTTATTTGTTCTTCGAGCCCAGAAGATAGAAGAAATCAGAAAAGAAAAAA